TACAGCTTCTCTGAGCTCATTTCATGAGGTCTAGAGTGGACAAACAACACAGGAGACATTACCTCAGTCACTCCATACCATGCCACAGAATGTTCCACATACTGCAAGCCTCATGGTCTGCCCATGTGCTGCCCCAGGATGATTGGCAGTGCTAACACTGACCATCTTGTCCTCATTACCCTCAATAGATAAACATGAAGAAGTACATTCTGGTGTTCATGGATCTCCCAGTGTCTAGGCTCTTCAGGCTTATTCATGATCATATGGATACAAATATATATCTTTTTTAATATTTAATAGCTGTATGGTTTCTCCTAAAACTGTTTAAAGTGATTAGATTGTCTAATGGGAATGCTGATTATAGTGGGTTGAACAGTATCTCTCAAAAATGCAGAATCTCAAAGTGTGACCTTATTTGGAAATAAGTCATAGGCATAATTAGTTACGATATGGTATCACTGGATCAGGGTGGCTCCTAATCCAATGACTATTACCCTTGTAAGAAGAGAAGAGACATGCAGAAATGTCATGTGAGATAGAGGCTAAATGCACAAGCCAAGGAACACTAAGAACCTCCAGAAGTTGGAAGACACAAGGAAGGGCTCTCCCGGAGCCTTTAGAGGTAATGTGGGCCTAACCACACCTTGACTTTAGACATCTAACTCCCAGAAGTGTGAGAGAATAAATTTCAGTCATAGTAATTAAGCTCATCTGTGTACCTTATGACAGCAGTCCTATTTGAGAGTGGAGACAGAGTCCCTACTCACACTTTCCTATCTGTTTCTGAACAATCTTAACTACTATGGCAGGAATCTAGTATTTCAGAAATTTTTAAAATACTTTTTAAAAGATAAGTATTGTAAGAATATTATGAATCAAAATGGGTATTGACTAAGTATTCAATTTAATGCCCTAAATTTCAAGAACATTTTTTTTACATAAAGTACAATTAGTTACCAAGTTTTCTCAAGTAACCCTCACAGCGTAAAGAAGACATCACTGGGACGATTTCAAAAATACAAGTTCCTCTTGCAATAACGGGTCATAAATAGTATGTGTGGGAGTAGCTATTATTAGACTTGGGCCACCAGAAGACTCAAGGAAGTGATAACGTCTTCTGCAAGTCTGGGAGATGCAAATTAAGGGCAGGATTATTTCCAGGAAAATATAAACTGGTTTAGAGGTAATAAGATGGGAAGTATATGATGATTGAATGGACTCGGAAACTTGGCTTCCCAAAAGTTATGCAACCTTGCAAACCTCCCTTGCCAATAAGCCCCTGCTCTGGTCCTGTGCTAACCAGGCTTTCTATTATTCTAAGCTTGAAGAATCTTCTCCACTAACCAGTTGTCCTGTAAACAGGTACAACAACATTCTTGGTTTAAAAAAATGAAAGAGAATGTCCCCTATAATTTACAACTTAATAATGCTGTCAAATCATCATGCCCTTCACAGGGAAGTGAGGTTCAGGATAGACTAGGAAATATTTCTTAACCAACCTGTAAAGATACTAGTAATAGAAGGATGGTTCCTGAAACTTAATTTCCTCTTGTATTTCATTGGATTCCTGGATTCTTGGAATCAATGGTGTCAGTATTTATTCAGAAAATACCCAGAGACATAAGTTAACAAGTATTCATACACAAAACTTCTGAGAATTGCTGAGTCTTCAGTGACACAGATGTCATTCATAATCTTGTCTATTAGTGGGGTGGGAAGAAAGAGAATGAAATGTCTGCTAACCCAAACTCCATATTTAAGCAAACTGATGGTTCTTATCAATTACTGCCTTTTCCTCAAACCCAACTTCTGTGTGAGGGATTGTGGTGGCTTCGTCTCAGAATTCAGCCTCACAAGTTCCCTGGAAGGCCAATTCATCCTACCTCATCACACTATTTCTTCTTCCATGTCCAGGCTGAGCTACTTGTTTCTGTCCTTTGGGAGTCAGATCAATTTCTTTTTGAGCCCAAATAAAACCATCCTCCTCCTGCTCCAAGAATTTCTGCCCTATCTGATGACAATGGTCTATGATACAACCTTGACTGAGAACTCTTTTTCTTATGTTTGTAATTTTTTTTTCATCCTGAGTCTTATTTCTAGTTGTTTTCTTCTATTACTAGAGGCCCAGTGCACAAATTCATGCACAGGTGGGATCTGCCGACCTACCCCAATTGGGGCAGATTGGGCCAGGCCAGCTGGGGGGAGGGGCTTCAGGTAGTTGGCCGACTGGTCCTGCCTCTTGGCCAACTCCTGGTTAAACTCCTGTTTGAACTCCCAGTGGAGGGGACAATTTGCATGTTAGCCTTTTACTATATAGAATTGGACTTATGCCTTAGTTAATCAAAACTTCATGAATATAATAGAATCAGAGGTATGGAAGGGGAGTGGACTGATGATTCTTGGGGAAAAGGGGAGTGGTGGGTGCAGGAAGAGACTGAACAAAAACTGTGCACCTATGGATGAGGACAATGGGGGCTGGGGAAAGGGCAGAAGGTGGGATGGAACCTGGTAGAGAGGAGCAATGGAGGAGGAAAAAAAAAGAGGAACATTTGTAATAATCTGAACAATAAAGATTTATTAAAAAAAAAAAAACTTTTCTATCTACAACTCCCTCTCACCCCACTCAGATTTAGGAAGAAAAGAGAACTGTGTACAGAGTTTCTTTGAAAAGTGATAAAATCATTCTGGAATTACACAACTTCAATTTGCAAATGTAAGTTTTTGGTTGCTTGGTGGTGGTTGTACAACCTTGTGAACATACTAAAAAACAGTGACTTGTACATATTTTAAAGGTAAATTTTATGGTACATGAATTATATCTCAATTAAAAAATTGGTCCATAGGACAAATATCCCTACCCCTGTGGGATAGGAGCTAGAAGCCTGGAATGCCAGCTCTGTCTCTGGCCACTGCCATGCCTCAGGTACAGTGTACTCTGGGGAAAAACACCTTGTTTTCAGTTTCCTTCTTTCTCAAGGTCATTCATTTCTACTGAAACCCAGCTGGTCAGAGTTGTTTGAGGGATGGGAGTGTAGGAATGATTTGATTCTCTCTCTGAGCTCAGAGGAGGTCACCCCATTCCAGTCCCCACACATTGTTCATGGTTACCTCTAGATGGAGCCCTAAAAAGGTGTCTGAAAGCCCTGCCTCCTCTCCTGGTGACTATCAAGCCCAGATGAAAGATCAGGGGCTTAGTATTTGACCCTTGTCTGCCCCTATGGATTCTGTGTGAAGTTATTTCTTTATCGTGAGTGCTGAAGAAAAGAGTTCTCTTCATTGAAAGACAAGGAAATGCCTTGTTTTAACCCAGAGTCTGCCTACTATAGTGTGGATAGTGGATACACGTACAGTTCCTGAGCCAGGTTATCTGTCTGAATATCTCACCTGTGCAGGTCATCACCTATAAAAACCTGGGCTTCTGTTCAACTGCTCCATGTTTCAGTTCTGTCTTCTGTGAAGTGGGTATAACAAAGAGATCTGCCTCAATAGGTTATTAAAGTCACAAGTGAGCAAATATATATCCCAGCTCATAAACATCAACATATTTTAATACTATTCTGCCTCAAGGAACACCATGCCCACTAAGAGACTAAGGCTCCGATTTTACCAAAATTAACCATGGCATTCAATGAACCCCTTTTTCTCAGTTTTTCTTACAGGCCATTAATTCTATTCTCCAGCCCATGATCTGAAGCTGGCATACTAAAGGGCAGAGTGACAGAGAAGTATCATGATTCTGGCTGCTCAAAAGATTTGTTTTATTTCATAGTTAGAATGCTGCCATGCAAAATACTGCCATGCAAATGGTCATTTGTATCAATTGTTGATGATTTCTGTCCTCCCCATATTGTTCAACACCTGGTCAGAAGTCAAGCTGTTTTCCTGTTTATGTGGTATAAGCATTAAGGGAAGTGGTAGGATGCACAAGCTCTTTCACAACTTCAATTTGCAAATGTAAGTTTTTGGTTGCTTGGTGTTTGAAGTGGACTGTAAGGACAATTCACTGTCAAGAGTAGAAATACTTTTTAAGTGTTAGTTATGGGTGGTTGTATCTGGAGGAATGTGAGGAATCTTGGATTTTTACTTTATTCTCATTGATATTAGTAAGGCAACTGCATGCATGACCTATGGCCCAGTGATGGCTACAACTGCGGTAAAGGGGGAAATGGTAGAGGAATATGGCAACTTCCCTGTCTTTACCAATAAATATTTCATGCCTCCAGCGGATAAGGGTTGAGAAATCAAATGTTGAATTACTTGAAGTTGCAACTATAGAAAGGCGGGGCAGGAGAGGTACATATTTAGGATCTCACCATTCACCACACATAGACTCACAGGCTCCCTGACCACCTGCTTCCTCCAGGAACACAGGTAAGTGATTCATCTGCTCCCACTTAACAACAGGAATCCTTTGGGTAATAATAGCAATTATGTGTTTTCTAACATGCATGCATTGTTTTCTGTATGAGGGGATTTTACTTATTCTGTCAGGGCAAAATTCAAATACTGCTTCATCTTGATTTTTCCTTTATCAAATTTATTTCCCAGTAAAGAACAACTCTCTTAGGAGCACTTGGGGAGAGAGGCAACTACATAGCCTTGAAGGAAAAGGCAGAGATGCCTCAGGAGAGCTGGCTGGGTGTTATCCACATGGACCATGGTCTTGGCATCTGTTATAAAGTTTTTTCTACACAGACCTAGTCCACCAGTTGCAAAGGAAAGATAAAGATGTCCTCTTACTTTCTCATAAAACTCTTAAAATAATAATTGTACTTGTCTTCTAATTATGAAATTAATACATGTACTCTATAGAAGGCTTGAAAAGTAAAAAAAAAAAAAACACAAAAAACAAGAAACACTTGAGTTGCCAGAATCCTAAAACCCAAATACAAGTTATTACTTTAAGAAAAATTGATTATACGGTAAACTTCTGCTTGTTAAAGTCATTATATAATGAATCTGCTGCTTTTCCAGGAGTTCCAGATCATACCAAAGACACCATGAATTCACTCAGTGAAGCAAATACCCGCTTTGCATATGATCTGTTTCAAATGTTCAGGAAATCATCGAAGGAAAATATCTTCTACTCCCCGCTTAGTATCACATCAGCCTTAGCCATGACTTACTTAGGGTCCCAAAAGCACACTGCAACAGAAATCCAGAAGGTAGGTGTCAGCTTTCTTTACTTTGACTAGTTTGGGCTGATCCCTTTGTTGGTGTGTATGCAGATGATGACAGCTGGCTGTCCCCGTGGATAGCACAGGAGAAGCAAGTATTCACACGACTGGCCAAACTGCTTCCATATGCCTACACTTCCTCTAGGAGCTGGAATGAACCCCTACCATTGCCCACCAACCAGAGGCTTAAATGGAGAATTATTGGTAGAAGTGATGCATTGACTTAAATCCATGGGAAACATTATCACATGTGTCCTCAGCAATGAATGAATAAGAATTGGATTCTTTTACAACCCAGCTTGGCTGTGTTTTCTCAAGGAGCAAACTCTTACTAAAGTGTTCTTTATTCTTTTTTCTTTGTTTTGCTTTGGTTTGGATTTTTGGTTTTTTTTTGGTTTTGTTTTTTGTTTTTTGTTTTTTGTTTTGTTTTGTTTTTTGCTGCTTTATTTTGTTTTGTTTGGGGGGGGTGTGGGTGTTAGGTTTATTTTTGTCCTTCCATTCTTTGTGTGTGTGTGTGTGTGTGTGTGTGTGTGTGTGTGTGTGTGTTTTCTCTTAATGTCCTCTGCTGTAGACAGATTTTTTTTTGAGTAAAGTTCTCTTGTTCCACTTCCTGTCCCTTCTAGGCTCTTCACTTTAATGAGTTCATAGAGAACACAAAAGGAGGAGCCACAACAGCCCAGGTGAGTCACACAGCACTTGGGACTAGAAGGAGCACCAAAAATCCAAGAGGGTCCTTGTGAACTGAGAATTTCACATAAACTGTGAAAAGTCCATTTTTTAGGAAGAAATCTTAGGCAAAATAGACTAGACAAACAGTGTTGTTTTGTATTTCATATTACATACTTATTTAGTTCATATTTTTGTTTTCCTGAGAGATCAGCATTGTGAGTAAGAGCATGGGTACTAGAACCAAAAAGCTAGCTTCAAATTTCTGCTCTCCTATTCACACATTGTAACTGTGGGCAAAATACAACTGCTCTGAGCTGATCCTTATAAATTAGGGCAATAAAAGATCTGCCTCTATTCATGATTATATATTCAAAACATTGAAATAGTGCCTGGATTACTGGAACCTTGATAAAAAAAATAATGTGTTATTACTATTATAGGATAATAATAATTCTAATAATCTTAACATTGTTAAATCATATAACTTTAATTAACTCACAAATGGATTATGAAAAATAAGCATACATCTAAGTATATTATGGGAAATGATTGTATGAGATATAGGATTTATAGCCTTAAAAGTCCAAAACTCGGAGCTAGCAAGTGGAAGGCTCTGATTCAGGCAAGCCTAGTTTCAAAAATTGGCTCTGTGACATTGTCTACTTAGGGGAGTTGTTTAACTCTCTGAGCCTCTTGTTTTCATTTAAATTAAACTAAAGACTTAGAGATACAGATGTAAAGCCCTTAGGAATGTATCAGGCACACACTGTTCCCACTCTTCAAGTATGATCATTATGAGTAAAAAGCATAAATCACAGCCCATGGGTCTTAGGAATAATACCGCCGAGGAGTATAACAGGGCTTTGTGTCACAGAATATTAAAACATACAAGTTCAACATACTCATGCCATTGGTGGCTGTTAGAAATGACATACAGTCTAGTCCTTAAGGAGCTTAAGTTTAGCTGCAGAGCTAAGCTTAACCACTGAACCAATCAAAAGACAGCCCAATAGTGAAATGGTGCTGCCCCTGTAGTTCACAGGAGAAAAAACTGGAATATGTTAAAGCAGAAAGAAAAAAATTTCTGGAACATTCAATGGAAGGATTATGAAGAATATTTGAGGTAAAAATACACCAAATATTAGAGAATAACAACAAAAGTCATCTATGGAATTGCCAAATGTTACAGACTTAAGTCATGGTTTAGTATTTACATGACAGAGAATTCAGTGAGCTCACTTTTAATGTTTGAAGGTTGAAAAGTTGGGAAACGTGCACGAGCAATTTCAAAAGCTTCTGACTGAGCTAAATAAACCCACTGATGCCTATGAGCTAAGCCTTGCCAACCGGCTCTATGGAGAAAAGAAGTTTCAGTTTCTTCAGGTGAGTTTCACAGGTCTGCCACACCTGTCTCCTGCCTCCTGGGCCCTCTATCTTTAGTGATCAAATTGGGGAAAGTGAGTCACAAGAGCTTGGCTGACCCACCTGGGGGTCATTTATTCATGGTATGTCAGTCAGAATTCCTCACCACAGTCCTGTCCACTGGAGTGTCTCTGAGCCTGACAAACCACCAGTAAAGTGTGGGTTTAGGGGTGAGCTGATGTACTATAGTTGGTCATGATAAAACATAATTTAACTTGGGAATACATAGTTACTGATAAATCACTCTTAATTCCTCCTTTCTTCCTTCCCACATCAAAGGAATACTTGGATAATGTTAAGAAATTCTACCTAGCCAGTGTGGAATCTGCTGATTTTGTAAATGCTGCAGAAGAAAACCGAAAGATGATTAATTCCTGGGTGGAAAGCCAAACGAATGGTACAATATGAGAGGGTCACCCATGAAAAATCACCCTGTGCATGAACCTGTGCTAACACTGTGTGAGGAACCAGGATAAGGGAGTGATAGGAGTCAAAAGAGAGTCTAGGGGAGGGCACTGCAGATGGTGGCATGGTCCAAGTAAATGTGGACAAAAACAAGGGGAGCCCAAGAGGAATCATGAAAAAGCAGCTGGAGACTGACGTCATCTTGGTGGACCCCAACTCTCTGCTCAGACCCCATCTTGGGTTCACATCTTTTATTTTAAATCAGAAACTTAATTTCTGGATGGCGATCCCTAAGAGAAAAGATGAGAAAGGGATCCCTTAACCTTGGTTAACTGGGAAACAACTTTCCTGTAAATCCCCCATCTTGCCACCTGCCTGCCCCACTTGGTCATCCCCACAGTTTCTTCCTTCACCACAGTATAAAGTTCAACAAAGTCTCCATCCTATGAGCCATATTCTCCCTCCTCACTGCAGTCCAGACTAAACCAACAACAACTCAAAGTGTGGAATGAAGAGGAGGACACCCCAGGGAATGTCAGCTGATGACATAGAGCTTGTGCTTCAGATTATAGAGCTCCTGACATTGGCTCTAAAGAACATCAGGCTCTATTTCCGTGTCATGAGCCTAAATTTGAAAGAAAAGAAAACAATAAAAGAAGGAAGGAAGGAAGGAAGGAAGGAAGGAAGGAAGGAAGGAAGGAAGGAAGGGAGGGAGGGAGGGAGGGAGGGAGGGAGGGAGGGAGGGAGGGAGGGAGGGAGGGAGGGAGGGAAGAGAGGGAGGGAGGGAGGAAGGAAGGGAGGGAGGGAGGAAGGAAGGAAAAGAAAGGAAAGGAAAGGTGGAGGAAAGAACAGAGGGAGGGAAGGAGAAGAGAAGGTCAGGAGGGAGGGAGGCACAAAGGGAGGAAATGCATTTGTTGAAAGAGTAAATAAAATCAGTTCATCAGTATTCAGTGTGAGATGACTAAAGTCACCCTAGGAGAACCTGGGCACCTTCCTAATTATAAGGGGTGACTTTTCCATGGGGGTAACTCCATCAGGCTGGTGCTATGAGAAAGGTTGCACCTTGTCAACTATTTGGTCATGGAATCACTAAAGTTGTGACTTGTACGAATAACTAATGATCACTTTAATTTTCAAAGCATCTTCCAGACAAACCACTTGTACCTTTCATGACAGACCTTTGTTTTTCTTTCTTTTACAGAAAAAATCAAGAATCTCTTTCCCGAAGGCTCTCTTGACAGCACCACCATTCTGGTTCTGGTGAATGCCATTTATTTCAAGGGGCAGTGGAATGAAAGATTTGATCCAAAAAGAACTAAGCAGGTGGAATTTTGGCTGAATAAGGTATTGTCTATTATATTCTTATATAATGCAATGTAGTTAGACATAGAATGTTCCATTTCAACACATATTTGATTAATGTACAACTGCATGTAAAGAACAGAATTTCTCACAGCTGCACTTTCTTGTTTTATTTTTATTTTTTAATTTATTTAGTTAGAAACCCTTAAAGAAACTCTTCTCTCTAATTCACAAATGTCCCAGATTACCTCTTAGAAAGGTAATGTGCTTGCTACTCAATAATATTATTCTTCATTATTTCTTTAAATTTATGCCTCCCTTGGCATTTGTTTGCCACACTAATTTACTGCAGGATACAAGCAAATTTGTGCAGATGATGGAACAAAGAGATAAGTTCAAGTTCACATCACTGGAAGATATGCAAGCCAAGATCCTTGAAATACCATACAAAGGCAAAGATCTGAGCATGGTGTTGTTGCTGCCAAATGAAATTGATGGTCTTCAGCAGGTAAAACCTTGTATCTCCAATTCTTCTTTCTATTGTCCATTTTCCTTGTAGTACAACTCTTGTGTGGGCTATTTATGGAAGCAGTGCTCACAGCTCATGGGTGATGTCTGAAGGGGTTCAAGAACAGATACTTTGTCTCTTCTCTGCATATAGCCTGAAAGAGAGGTATTAAGGAGAACCTAGCATTCTGCCTTGTTCCAAAAAATAAATAATATCTTAAGTATCATGTGTGAGTGATATGGAAAAATATATAGAAGTTTTTAGGATCACGGGTCCCATTAACATTCTGATAAAACCATGAATGTCAGTTCAGGAAAAATACTTATACCTTGGCACACACATGGACTATTTTGCAACCATAGGAACCTCAGATATATTCTAGTTTATTCACTTGAAGACCAAAAAAACTAAGACTTTGATGTAGGTGATACATGGGGAAAATATGCAGGTTCACCCACAAACACAAGCAAGCAAATTGCAGCACCGTTTTGCATACTCACTCACAGTGGGTTTGTGGACAGTAGACAAATAGACTTATTTTTATTTTTTACTTTTCAGTTTAGAAGTAGTCTATTCCTAAGAGCTCTAAGTCATTTGGACTCTCATTCCTGTGAGAGAGAAAAAAAAGAGAAAATTTCCTCTTAGCATTGTTATAATAATTAAAGATAATGTATAAAAAACATCAATAACAATACCTGACATATTGAGGACATTCCAAAAATGGCACCTGCAATTCCTATATATAATAGTCAAGAATGCTACTAGAGTTGCAGTGAGCTTACCACAATAAAAATATATACTGTGGCAACATTGGCAGGGGAAGCCCCCAGGAAAGTAGCCTGGTGGGATATGGGATAGCCTTTACTGTTTCTTTCCTCCCACGCAGCAGTTCTCCTTATGAGTCTAAATGACATTAGGAGCCCCAATCCTGGAATTTATCCTCTGTTAATCAGTCTAAGCAAGGCAAAAGCTTTTGGACCAAACTGGCTAAAAATAATGAACATTTCAAAACAATGAACAATGGCGCAGCTTTGAATTGACAGTAGTTTTAGCTTAGGGACTGACGAACAGTAAATACTTTTAAAATATTAATTATGAAAAGATATATACGTTGACTATCAATTTATGGCAGTATATAACAATTAAAACTTGATTAAAGAAATATATAGCTATATGGAAATGTTTACAAATAGGTCAAGCAATAAAAATGTATAAAAATAAGTTGGATGCTATAAATTATAAAAAAATTATGTACAAAAAAAACATTTACTAGAAGAGAACTATTTAAAATGTAAACATGCAGTGGACAGGCAGTTAAGAATGGAGATATATAGTTCATCTTTTATAAAATAATTTTATTTAATGATTCTATTGTTTTATATATAATATAGAAGATTTGGTATATTATATGTAATATGTACTTATATAATACTATGTATTATAAAATATATATTAACTAAATCTCCTGTATTTATATTTGCTGGAACATTTTAATTTAATGTACAATTGTTTTCAATATCCACTGAGAATCATGTCATTTGTTATTTTTCCCATTGTTATAGCTTGAAAACAAACTCACTGCAGAGAAATTAATAGAGTGGACAAGCTCAAGAAATATGAGCATGAGACAAGTGCATGTGCAGTTACCTCGGTTCAAAGTGGAAGAAAGCTATGACCTCCAGGACACACTGACAGCCCTGGGGATGGTGGATGCCTTCAGTCCACAGGATGCTGACTTCTCAGGCATGACAGGGAGCCGGGGTCTCGTGCTATCGAAAGTCCTACACAAGTCCTTTGTGGAGGTGACAGAGGAGGGTACAGAGGCTGCAGCTGCTACCGGCGCAGTAATTTCTGTCACATCAGCACCAATTTATGAAATGTTCCATTGTGATCACCCCTTCCTGTTCCTCATCAAGCACAACAAGACAAACAGCATTCTCTTCTTTGGCAGAGTCTCATCTCCTTAGATGCAATTAGCATGCTGCTGCATTAAGGGAAGGGTGACGGAGTTGTTCCAATACTTTGATTGCAAGAAATGGGTTCTCTTTAGCTTTCCTTTCCAATCTCATAGTTATCACTAAGAATGTAATGGTCAAAAGAGCATGTTTGTCTCTCTCTTTCTACAAACACATGTAGATTATTTTCCTGTGATAATTCTACCTTTGGGATAAAATGTTCAAGGAACGGTAAGAAGATATTTCAACACTCTACCATCTAAATGTGAAATACCACATCTGCTGCTTCAAAAATTATATCTACTATTCAAATGTATTAGCCTTACACCTACATTTACTGAAATTTATTTACACCTGCTGTAACATTTCAATCCAATGTTAAATTGTGTTCATTGTCTACTAAGAATTATATCATGTTCTATTTTTTCCTTACATGTCTACATTTTTATTTTATGAAATACATTATCAATAAAATGGTTATTTGTTCATATTACTTGTTGCTTTTCCTTAGTCAAGGATGAAAGCCAAGCCTCACAAACTGCTAATGTTGAAACGAAAGGATACATACCTTCTTCCCTTATGAAATGAGATTATCCCCTTTTGGGGAAAACCCTCAATGTTTAACCTTGTCAGCTCCATCAGAATGGGGCTCTGTCAGAATTATCTATGTTGTACACCTGGAGCACACACAGGGGTCAGCAACTATGTGACAAATGAATGAAGGATTGACTCAATCCCTTTAAGTCACTCAGGAGCCTAATGTTTCTTCTATAAGAACTCATTTGTTTTTATATTATAAAGGACATTATAAAAATCCAAGGTTGCCTCACTGTGAGTAGTGTAGTATAAAGTCATTTAACAATTATTCTGCACCTGCTGTGTTCCATGCTGGCTAAGGCAGCAGGTTCTCAGATATGACAAAAATAAACAAATCTAGCATCCTGATGACCAGAAAAGAGGGACCAAATTCAGCATACAAGCAGACCAACATTTGGAACAAAATGCCCTCATGTTGATGGTCAAGGGTTTATTCAATGTCTGGAAATATAGTAACAGTATGAATGTAATAAACACATGTAAGCACCTAAATTACCCAGAAAATAGCTAGTGGGCAGTCATAAAACTAGAAATCCATAAAACCTAAGGATCTCACAAATGAGGCAAACTCAGAAATTCAGGAAGACATTTTGTAGTAGACCCAGAAGCCAGAATTCACTAAGGTTATGCCCTTCCAAGTGGCTGTGTGTGTGTCATTCCCCAGAGGGTAGGGCCATCCCAGAGCATAGCAACCCAGAGCCAGGCCCTAGCCTTTTAGAATATTAACATCTAAGGCTGTATAATCTCTGTTCCTGATAATTATGTACTCTAATGGTTGAAAACCAAAAACACTCATACTCCAAAATGTTGTCTAAGAAAATTCATGTTTCATTGGAGACTAAGAATGCATTTGTTCCCTTTCTAACAAGGATTTCTTAACCTATATTTTATGTCTAACAATAATTTTTTTAAAGCTTGTATTTTTTTAATATACTCTAAGTTAGTGATCAGACTCAAGTGAAGTTCATTCAAGATAAATTACACATGACAAGTAGATTTCAACTCCCTGCAGTTCTGTTTATTCCAGGGGTTGCACATCAATGACCTTGAAAGCAATACTGCAGAGGAACCTGGAGCTCTGCATCCCAGGACTGATGAAGCCCATCACAGCATCGAACTCTTGATCTACAGAGCATGTCCCGGATTGCACAAATGGTGTTGCCAGGAAGGTCATCCTTTCTATCTCAATACCTCACCCTCCAAATACACATCTGCATAAATACAGCAGTTAGACCAGTGCTCAGAGGTACTGGGGCTTTATGCTGACCCCCAGAGAAAGGCATGAAAAGGATGTTAATTTTAGAACCAGTTATTCTGCCCACACCTCTTGCAGTGAAAAGTTTTGGGTGTAGCAATGAGAGAAAATTTGCCTGGAGATGCAGAACACATAACAAACACAGGCTCAGAACTAAATATTGTCAAATCACAGGGATTAGTTCGAGTAAGCTTAGTGAGTCAGAACTTTTGAGCATGCTTTATGGGATTAATAGACACATTGGTGTACAGCTTCCTGGAACACTGGCTTCCAAATACTGACATGGAAGTATAAATCAAACATTGACAAAAATGCCTCTCTCACCTGGAATCCACTAATACTTTAGAACTGATGAAATAAGACCTCAGATTTTAATATGGTGGCTAAGGACAGGATGGCCATGATTTGGTTTCCAAGCGAAGTTAAAGGATGCTATTATTGCTGCTGGTGATGTTGATAATGATAATGATGAGGGCAGTGAGAGTGGTGATGTGATGGTAATGGCAAGGAAAATGGCAGGCAACATCAACTGGGTCATACCCTGTTACAGTTTCTTTAATGAGCACATAGTCTATTTATCCTCACAACAGCTCAATAAAGTAGGAACTCTTATAAAATCAATTTTTAAAATGAAGAAATGGAAGCTCAGAAAGGTGAACTTAACTACCATACCCCATAAAACTATTTCTAAAGCCCAGATTTATATTCTTTTTGTCTGACCCTGAAGCTGGCACATAGGAGGAGGATTTAGAAATAGACATGAACAAAATTAGCTTTTGTTGCTAAAGTGGTTGACCTTAATTCCCTCTGTATGTCTGGATTATTTTCCATTAAAATTAGATATAGTGGACTATCACATAAGGAGTAGTCACCAGTGTAACGTTAGAAGTGTTAGTAGAGATCCTTTTTAAAATTCTCTATATTTAAGCAATAAAATAAAAATAATTGCAACAAAATTAATTGCCATCCTTGGGATCACAGTTATGTCAGGGTAGAGCTGAGATAGATAATATTGATTCCTGACTCCAGACTTGTCACCTTTTTTTAATATACATTTTATTGATTTTACAGAGAGGAAGGGAGAGATAGAATCATCAGTGATGAGAGAGAATTATGGAACAGCTGCCTCCTGCATGCTCCACTGGGGATTGAGCCCACAACTGAGGTATGTGCCCTTGAACAGAATCTAACCCAGGACCCTTCAATCCAAGAGCCGGTGCTCTATCCACTGAGCCAAAATGGTTAGAGTCAGACCTATCACTCTTCATTTTGCTTCCTTCCAGCATTGATAAACTTAATGTTACATATCACATTGCCACTCAGACACTCATCCGTTATCCTCCCAGATCATTGACAGCACAGGCCTGGGGGGTATTCATTCCCAGACACACTCACCCTTGACTGCCATCAATAAGCCCAATACTAACTACACTGAGGTTCATGCCTAACAGATATGTGGGCATTAAACATTTCCACTTTCATATTCTTCATTGATAACTTGTTGTTAGATGCTGACTCCTTGCTCCTCCAATAAGTTGGTGGATAGAACATTGCTTATAATGTGCAGGAGCATTAAACTAGTCAGATTTTTTGAGCTCTTGAATTTTCAGACATTGATCTAGATGCTAAGTGTCCAAAGATGACTGCAGTGGGTGGTAAAACAGAAAATGTAGATACAGTAGTTAGAAGTGTGAACAAATCTCACTCTAGGAAGACTGCATTTGGTGGGATAGTTTGGGAGAGGCATAAAATGTCACAAACCCAGAAGTGTCTAATTTACATATTTAAAATTCAGGATGTCAATGTATTGATTCATAAAAGGAATCATACCATAAATTATGTCTACTAATACCTGGGAACTCCTTCCTGTTGCTTAAGTTCACAAATCAAGTTGAACATGAAAAACCTGCTTGTTTAATGAAGGAAAAGAAAAAAAATCTGGATAACACACAAATTCTTTAATCTCAATTAAAATGAGATTCCCAGCATGAAAATGGCTCTGTATATCAGTATCTTTCCTCTTTTCTTCCTCTATAAGCAAGAAGATGAAATAGAGGAGGAAGAGGACGAGGAGGACAAAGAGTAGGACAAGGAGAAGGAGGAGGAAGAAGAAGAGGAGAAGGAGGAGGAGGAGGAGAGAGGGAAAAGGAGAAGAAGGAGAAGGAGAAGGAGAAGAATAAGGCCTCTGTAAATTTCTTTCTCAGTTAAGTTAGAAAGTAGGTATAATTCCTGGTCTTATAATTCATATAAAGGCTGTGTGGAGGTTCAGAGATAGTCACTCCAAAATTTTCTTTTGTGATATGTGGATTGTTATGAGCTAAGGACATTAACTGCAGGCTCAGGAGAAACTTCTGCCCTCCCTTGACTACCTGAAAGAATTTGGAGTAGGAGCCTTGTCCATAATGGGAGATTATCAGAGTTAGCATCTTTGACCTGTCTGTAGAACAGGACAATTTTTCTCCTTACTAAACATCTGTTTTTATCATTCTACAATGACTCTTTAAAGCCCCCAAGTCACTCCACCTCAACTCTTGCTCAAGATGTCTTACACACTCATGCTCCTTTTCTGTCTCTGAACCTCTCCTGCATGTGGGGTCTCTGATTGGCCTACAAAGGGATCCTATAGGTATGTATGTATCAAATTTGGTTATTTGCTAATCTGCCTCATGTCTATTTGATTATTAAACCAGCTATAAGAACCTTGAGGGTAGAGGAAGATTTGTTCCTCCCTGACAACTGCAAATGGTGAAAACAGCTGAGGTTGAGCAGGAGGCCCTGGAGCAACTAGGGAGAAAAGCAAAAACATTGGTAAGAGGGCTCAGGAGCAGCAGATTTCAGAGAGTATCAGCAGAAATGCATTTCTCACAGGAAAGGGCCTCTCCCTTAATACAGAAAATAGCACAATTTATCTGGAAATAATTGGCATGGGGCCGGGCACTCTGGGTTAGCAGAAGGAAGCTTCCTGGGCTTGAGGACATGAATCACCCATAATCACACAGTCTTCCAGTTTCTGCTGTGATGGAAAAAAGCTGGAAAGAGTGCTGCTCCACCATGATTGGATGGGGGGTTGGGAAGGAGATAAAAGATAAAAATCTGGATAACACACAAATTCTTAAGGCCATCAGAAAGTTGCAAGGCCACCATCCAGTCTGAAATCTAAGGAAAGACAAGTATCTTCAAGAAGAGACAGGACACCAGCACTGACTTGCCTAGGGCAGAACATGGGAGGAAGACAGGGCTCCAGACAAATGCTGAAGACTATGTCTGTGTAGCACGAGGGTATAGAACCCATGGGAGCCTCAGATACAGAGGGAATTTGTACCCAGTCTTCACCACATAGATTCTAGAGTGTTCAAGAGAGCCTCTTTAGGACAGCTGGCAAGAAAGCCCTTGAGCTCCCTCCCTTGGCACCTGCAGGAGGTGCAAACCAAGCAATCATAGCTTAACCAGGCACAGGAACCCTCATCCAAACTCAAATCGTAATCACAATAAAAGCCCTCCTGGGTCTCCTATGCCAGGGATCACACAGTGCTCTCCCCAAAAAGCCTCATTACATAAGTAACCAATCTTCATACTTTCTTGGTGCATGTGTGATATTATCAGTCTCAATGTCAACCAATTTTTGTGTGGGAATAGGGGGACTCCATTCTATCTCCATGGGATGATCACAACATGCCACTATGTAATGTCTGTTTTTAATGCAATATTCAGATGATCTATCATAAAATTGTACATTTGTAATCTATATAATCTTATTACTCAATGTCACCCCCAATCAATTTAATCTAAAAATTAAAACTCACTTTAAGTATAAGGACACATCTAAATTAAAATGGAAGATAGAAAAAAAGCATACCATGCCAATACTAGTCATATGGAAGCCTGAGTGGTTATATTATTAGACAAATCAAATCCCAGGAAGGAATGTGTTCAGGGATGGGGAGATATTGACATATAATAAACATTTAGATCAGTAGAACAGAGAATCAGGAAAAAACTCACATATGAATGTGGCATAAAGTTTCCAGGGTGATTAAGTCATTGAGGTAAGGACAATCTCTTTCAACAAATGGTGCTAGAACAACTGAAAGACCACCTGAGAAACAATGAGCCTCAAGCCTAACTTCACAATAATTGAAAATAAATCAGAGGTCTAAATGTAAAGGCTAATGCCATAAAAACTCTAGAAGAAAGTCTTAGCAAACTTGAGATATACAAAAATATCTTAAATAAGACAGAGAAATAGAAACCATAAGTGAAAAAAATTAATGAATTGGACTCCATGAAAATTTTAATTTGCTCAATTGACACCACCAATGACAGCAAATTAAATTCATATAGCTGACACGTTTTTTTCCATAATATATCAAAAGCAATTACAAGTCAACAATAAGAAAACAATTCAGCTGGGACTGGTTTGGCTCAGTGGATAGAGCGTCGGCCTGCGATCTTAGGGGTCCCAGGTTCGATTCCGGTCAAGGGCATGTACCTTGGTTGCAGGCACATCCCCAGTAGGGGGTGTGCAAGAGGCAGCTGACCGATGATTCTCTCTCATCGATGTTTCTAACTCTCTATCCCTCTTTTTTCCTCTCTGTGAAAAATCAATAAAATATATATTTTTAAAAAGAAAACAATTTAATAAAAATGGGAAAAATTTGAATAGATATCTTACAAAAGAAGGTATGCATATGGCCAACATGCACATGAAAAGATTCTCAACATCATCATCCATAAGAGAAATGCATAAATTAAAACCACAATGAGATGCCACCATCACACCCACTAGAATGGGTATAATGAAAAATGCTGACCACTCCAACCACTGGTGAGGATGCAGAGCAACTGGAATGCTCAAATGTTGCTCATAAGAGTAGAAAATGGTACAACCACTCTGAAAAACATTTTTGCAGTTTCTTATAAATTTAAACATATATTGTATATACCATATGTCTCAGCATTTTCACTCACAGATGTCTACCCAAGAAAAATGAAAGTATATGTCCACACAAAGATTTATGCACACAAATGTGCATCTAAGCATTATGCATAGTAGCTAAACACTGGAAGAAACATAAGTGCCCAGTGGGTAAATAAGTAAATAAAATGTGGATTTACCCATACAATGGAATACTGTTTGTCAATAAGAAGTAATGAACTGCTGATATTCCAACAACATGGATTATCTCAGTGCTCAGCAAAAGAAACCAGACACAAAAGAGAACTTTGATATGAATCCACTTGAGTAAAACCCTAGAAATGACAAATATACCTTGTAATAATTTAAGACAGGCAGGCCAGGAGTTGTGTGAGCTGGGGCTGTATGGGGTGGTTGACAGGGAAACAGGACAAGGGAACCTTGGGGACTGATGGAAATGCCCTGTATGTTGGGTGTGGTGATGTTTGCACAGGTGTACACATTTATAAAACATCAAGTTTACGGATTAAAATGAATCTATCTTATTTTATGACCACATTGACTTTATTTACAATATCAAGATATTTATGCAATTGACAATGAATAATATGCTCTGTTAGAATAGAGGGGGTGAAAATATGGGCATCCTCTCTGCCTGGTGTATTGCTTCATTTTATCCTGGCTTTTGAGTTTTAATTTATGTTTGGCTGATGTGTTTCTAAATTCTCTTTTCTATATGCAGTTTGCTGCACTGACTCTGAGAAAGAGAAAAGTAGCACATGAATTGAGTAAACTATTGTTTTATTTCACTTTTTATTATAATCTTTCAAAATATTGGAACTGGAGAGACTCCCAAAATCTTTAATTCATAGTCTGTACTGACAAGACAGTTTCTTTACTAGTGCATAAAACTACAAGTCATTAATTTACTTTTAGAAGAAATCAACAGCATATTTATAAGCCTTGATTTAACTCACTTTATACATGACACAAAAGAACATTTCACTTTTAAAGAAAATTTTAAACACACACACTCAGTGCAGTCACTAAATCATTCATTTTGGTGCAGTCACTAAATCATTCATTTTGAAGGTTGGATTGAAATGCAAGCAAGAAAAAGCAAATTTCTTCAAAGAATGGGCTACTACCATCGTCATATTAATACTTCAACACTGGTTTTCTGCCAAGCCAATGACTGGCCTAAGGAGATGAAAATTTGCCAAAAAAGAGGACGCTGTTGGACTCATTGTGCCGGATGAAGAACAGAAAGGGATGATTGCAGTGAAAAGTTTCATAATTGGGCACTGATGTGACCGCAAAGCCCATCCCAGTGCCTGCTGCAGCCTCTGTACCTTCCTCGGACACCACCACAAAGGACCCGTGCAGAAACTTCTGGGCATGCAGCCCTGAACGTGGGGACATGCCTGAATAGTCAGCCTCCAGCTCACTAAAGGCATTCCCCAGCCCCATGGCGCCCAGTGCCGCCTCCAGATCGTAACTATCTTCCACTTCAAAACGGGGCAAGTGCAAATCCACAGTCCTTTCCTTCATCTGCCCTGGGTTAGTCCACTCTACTAATTTCTCAGGACTTACTTCATTTATAATCTATTAAGAAAAAAGGGGGAGAGGGAAGAATGGCATGATCATCTATGAACATTTGAAACAGTTTAACATTCATTTGTTTCAGTCATAAATTGTTAATTTTAATAACAAAAGTAAAAATTTCATTTTGCTAAACTGTTGTCTTTATATAGCAGGCACTTGTCTTACATTTCTCTATTTAAATTTTTTGTGTATATATGAAAAGTCAATAGCATTTAGTGAATTTTAAAGATGAGAATTCAATTTCTTACTATTTCCCTAGTGTCTTTTTATGCATATATATTATATATAATTTTAAAGATAAAATATTTTTATATCCTGTTTAATAAAAAAGAAACATGCAACTTGACCATACCTCTGCTACACCCACAAGCCAATAAGGAGCAAGTATGCAAATTAATCCAACAAATATGGCAGCAGCCATAGAGTTGGAGAGAGCAGGAGGCTTGGGTTGCCTCCAGTGATGGAGGAAGCCAAGCTTTCCACTTGCTCTGGTCTTCCCTGGCCTCCACTCAAGACTACAAAGTTTCAATTATAGAAGATAAATAAATCCCAACAAAAATGGTAGCAGCCATGGAGCTGGAGCCAGCTGGAGGCTTGGGTTTCCCCTGGTGATGGAGGAAGCCAAGCTTCCTGCCCTGGCTGGCCCTGGCCTCTACTCAAGGCTACAAATTTTTAGTTATAGAAGATAAATCCCAGATACCAGGGCCTCCACTTAGGTTGCCAGGGGGTTGTGACCAGCCTGCAAACCACCACAGATCCTTTTCCCAGAGCACCCCACACCCCAAGGGAACCCCCACCCTGATCTGGGACACCCTTCAGGGCAAACCAGCCGGCCTCCACCTGTGCACCAGGCCTCTATCCTACCTAATAAAAGAATAATATACAAATTGAACATCACTCCAACACACAAGATGGCAGTTCTCATGTGGTCAAAGATGGCTGTCCCCATGTGGACACAAGATGGCCATCACAAGATGGCCAGCAGGGGAGGGCAGTTGGGAGGGACCAGGCCTGCAAGGGAGGGCACTTGTGGGCAATCAGGGCAGGAGGAGAGAGCAGTTGATGGAGGCCAGATCTGCAAGGGAGGGAAGTTGGGAGTGATCAAGCCTGCAGGGGAGGGCAGTTAGGGATGACCATGCCTGCAGGGGAGAGCAATTAGGGATGACCAGGCCTTCAAGGGAGGGCAGCTAGGGGTGACCAGGCAGACAGGGGAGGGCAGTTAGGAGCAATCAGGCTGGCAGGGGAGCAGTTAGGCATTAATCAGACTGGCAGGGGAGTGGTTAGGGAGTGATCTGGCTGGCAGGCAGAAGCAGTTAGGGGCAGTCAGGAAGGCAGGCAGGTGAGCAGTTGGGAGCCAATAGTTCTAGATTGTGAGAGGGATGTCTGACTGCCAATTTAGGCCTGACCTTGAGGGGTCCCAGATTGGAGAGGGTGTAGGCTGGACTGAGGGACACACACACACATACCCATGCACGAATCTAATGCACTAGGCCTCTAGTAAATTATATAATAAGCAAATTATAATTAATGCTAGAAGCCTGGTGCTCAAAATTTGTGCACTAAGATCATCCTTGATTTAAAAAAAAAGAAAAAAAGAAAAAAGAAAAAAAAAAGAACCATTTTTTTCTGAAAAGTGGTGTTGATTATGTGGGACAGAAGGTATGTGGGAAACCTCTGTAACTTTTTCTCAATTTGTTATAAACCTAAGCGTCTTTAAAAATTGAAGGTTTAAAAAAAAATTCAGAAGGTCTGAATGAATACAAAATTTGCTGGATATGTGCACATGTGATTTTTTTTTTTTTTCTGGAAAATAGGTGCCTAGATAATCAACCATTTCTCAGAATACTTGGTGATCTTTACAATCCCTTAAATGTTTATTTTAGCTCATTCCTAAATATTTTTGTGTTGGCTGTTCTCAATAAACCTGTCATCTATTGCTCCACATTAGACATCTTGCGCAAAGTTGAAATAGTTTCCACTGGGAACCACCAGACCCCAGCTCCCATTCAGAAGCCCCCCTTCTATGCTCACCCAGAATGAGCTCTGAGATGCAGAGCCTCCAGAAATGAGATCAAGAATGGGGAGATGCAAAGTTTTACCTTCTCCAGACCATCAATGTCATCGGGCAGCAACACGAACATACTTAGGTCACTGTTTTTATATGGAATCCCCAGAATTTGGGCCTGCAGGTCCTTCAAGAGAGTGAAGCTGAAGGAGTTGCGCTGGGTCATCATCTGCACAGGTTTACTTGTGTTCTGCAACAAATCCACAGAGTGCCCAGTGTCCAAAGAGGCATGAAATGACCAGGGAGTTCACTGAAATGACACTCTCAACCTAAAACAGTGCTAACGCTCAGACCCTTCAAATCAGCACTGTCTGTCCACCCTGTACAGTGATGGAAATATGACTTCAGAATGTACATTCCATGTGTAAACACATCAATAGTTAAAGAACCATACCTTATCCAGCCAAAATTCCTCCTCCTTGGTATGTTCTTTCTTAAACTCCCTGTCCCATTGTCCTTTAAAATGCACGATGTTCACCAGCACCAGCTTTGTGGTGCTGCTTAGAGTGGCATCTGGAAACAGGTCCTTGACTTTTTCTGCAAACAAACAACAAACTTGGCCCATCTTCGAAATGATAAGTGATGTGCCTGGCAGATACGATGCAGGTGGACTTGACTGGTCACTAAAAACCTCAGCTAGGCCCTAGCTGGTTTGAGTCAGTGGTGAGAGCATCAGCTCACATTGGTGCACTGAAGGGTCTCAGGTTCAATTCCCAGTCAAGGGCACATACCTCAGTTGCAGGCTTAATCCCCATCCCTCTCTTCCTCAGGGCACTTGCCAGAGGCAACCAATCAATGCATCTCTCTCATTTTGATGTTTCTCTCACTCTGTCTTTCCCCTCATCTCTATTCTCTCTAGAAAAGTAAATGGAAAAAAAAAAATATCCTTTGATGAGGATTAACAAAAACAAACAGTAAAAACCTTAGCCTGGCCATACTTGCAGGCTCTGCTGACAACAGGTTCCCCGCCTTTTATCCCATTGGATGAATTGAGGTCTGAGGTTAAAAGTTTAGGCTCTATCAATCAGACTGTCAGACCTCAGAGGGAAGGTAGAGAAGGGTGAGGATAAGGGAGAGAGATCAACCAAAGGACTGTATGCATGCATATGAGCCAGTGGTCATATACAACAGGGGGGTAGGGGCATGCGTGGGGAGTGGTTTGGGATAGGAATGGGGGGGGTGATGAGGACAAATATGTGATACCTTAATAAAGTAATTTTTTTTAAAAAAAGTTTAGATTCTGGGATCAGATTGCCTCTGTGAGCATCCAGTTTTGCCTCTTACCAATTAAGAAATATGGGCAAGTTATTTAAGCTCTCTGTGCCTCAGCTTCCAAATGAGTAAAACAAGGAATTAAACCACTTCATAGGGTTGTTGAAAGGAGTAAATGTGTGTACATTACTTAGATCACTATCTGGCTCACAATAAGAACTCAATAAATGTTAGCTATTATTATTTTTATCCATTTGATATAGTTATCACCAGAGGATATGTTTATTGATTTTAGACAGAGAAGAAGGGATAGAGAGAGAGAGAGACATCAATCTGTTGTCTCCTCTATGTACCCCAACCGGGAATCAAACCCACAACTTAGATATGTGCCCTGAACAAATCGAGCCCTAAACCACTTTAGTGTATGATGATACTCCAACCAAATGAGCCACATGGCTGGAAACAAAAGCAGGTCTTAATGGAAGAGCTGAATGTTTCTCACTTGATAATGAAAAAGGAACCCCTGTATTTCCACTCAGAAAGGCTCTGATATAAAGGAAAGAATGTGAACCCAAGACAGACATGACCCAGTTTCAGGACCCTCAAAGATATTATGAACCACAACCAGGTGTAAATAATTCTCCACTAAGTGTTTCCATGAAGTTGGCTCTATGATCCCCTCTGATTCTCCTTGGCTTTCTCTTCAATTTGCAGAGCCTCCACCCACCCCTCATGCTCAGGTCTGCATTTCTAGTCCTGTAAAACCCATACCAAGCCCCTCCCAAAGCTTGTCCACCCTGGTCCCCCACACAGTGCTAACCACAGGGCTTCACTCACAGTGGGCACTCAAGGAGCATTTTTATGATGAACGACCCATCCATACTCTACCATGTGTTTGGCTTTCAACCCAGGAATTAATCTTCTTTCGACTTTCATCTGCTGCATTTACAAAATCAACAGGTTCCAGGGAAGCATGATAATATTTTTCAACATAATCTAAGTATTTCTTTAGGAGAAACAGGAGAAAAAATAGAAAGAAGTTGAAATTCAATTTATCTATTGCCAACATTTCTAAATAAGTTCAAGATCACCAATATTCTAAGCAGGGTTTGGGGGCAAATCACTTTGAGTACTTCCATGCATCTTTTATGCAAATGCAAATAGGATAAAAGTAAAAATCAGATTTAAACTGCCAAGATTACAAAGGAACTCTCAAGGGGCCAGGATGTCTGAGAAACAGGCAGGGGGGATGCCAAGTGATCTGGGCCAAGTCAGGCAGTCAATGAAGGCAGCATGCCACCAGGACCCACAATCCTAACAGAGCCGTTGGCCGTTCATGAATACCACTCACAGAAGTGGTGGACACGGCAAAACTTACTTGAAGAAAAAGGTATGTCTTCTCTCCAAATAGCCTGTTGGCTACTTTCAGCTCATAATTATTATTGGGTTGGCTTATTTCACTCAAAAATGTTTGGAATTGATGATGTATCTCTTCGGTCTTCTCAATCTTCAAAACAAAACAAAAACTCACTAATGTAAATCACAACCAATCTCAGCTCCACAAAGAAGCTTGCTCTTTGGCTCAATACCACAGATCTAGTTTTTCTGGCTCAGGTTGCATTTTTCATCTCAAATATAATTGCCCACTAAGTGGTTCATATGCTTGCTTTTAGCTTTCTACAATATTAAGCAACTGGGGGAGGTAAATGATTCCTCAGATGACTCTTATCCACTTAAAGTTGGCCATATCTGTTCCAGACAATGGATAAGAAAAGTAAATCCTGATGGTGTAAGCGGCCCTTTGTTAGCTTAGGGGAGAGAAAAGAAGAGAAGAGAGGAGAGGAGAGGAGAAGAGAGGAGAGGAGAGGAGAGGAGAGGAGAGGAGAGGAGAGGAGAGGAGAGGAGAGGAGAGGAGAGGAGAGGAGAGGAGAGGAGAGGAGTGGAGAGGAGAGGAGAGGAGAGGACTGAACTGATATTTTTGTTCTTAACTCTGAGGGGGGGGGACTTTTCTAGGCATTTTTTTGTGGAATCCATCAGTTTTCTGATTGAAGGCTGAGGAGTGAGTGCTTCATGGCAGGGCCAGATGACAGTGTCCGTAAAACAGAGAGGAACACTGCCCCCTGCCTGTTCAGTGATGTCTGGTTACCTCTATTCACCATTCACGCTGGATTCAAGGGAGAGTCATTTTATTTTTGAACTGAAAAGCTTATCCCTGATTACACTGAGAAAGGAAAGGCCTTCTTCCTCTAGAATATAAAGCCAAGGGTCTTTTGTTTGTTTGCTTGCTTCATCTTTTCATTTCATGACTGATTACTCAATGCCCAGAGTAATATCTGTCACTTAACAGACACTCGGTTAATATTTATGCTAATGAACTCACGAACATTTGAAGACATTCAGATGGAAATACATGCTGTTTTAACAAAGAATCTGAGGCTGAATTTGACCTTTGGCTCCCTCCTTGTTACTGTGAGCCTTTAAATGTCCAGTGATCATTCATGGCTGCTCAGGTTGACTGATATGTGAGGTGAGCAGATCAAGGTATTAAACCTATGGGGAATAATGGATTGATATAAAGAGAAGGATGTAGTGGAAGTATTTCTCCAGTGGGACAGTTGTGACTAAGTTGACCTGAAAAATGGAGAAAGGGAGTAAGGACCTACTGTCAAACAGGTTTGAGGTTTGAAATTATACTTCCTGGGTGGATGGGGAAACCCCAAACTAAGAAATTAATTTAAAGTGGCCCTGGGTTGATAACATCCCAGGATCTGATTCCAGAAAAAAACAATTATCTGTATTAGAAAGATAACTACATCTCAGGTTTTGCTGGACAATCTAGATTACCAAGCAAATATTCACTCATATTCTAAAACTATAAGTCATGAGAAAATAGAATTGATAAAAGAAAAAAGAAAAGCAAACAGCCATATTGGATTCTCAAGGACTTTAGGTATTGATATTATCAGATATCACACTTAAAAATCAGTATTTTTGAAAAAAGATATTGAAAATATGGTAGAGAAAACAAGAGATTGTTATAAAGTTCCAGGTTCATTTTATAATCAACTAAAATTCCTATATGCTTAATAAGCATTGAAATTTAAAAGCTCAATAGATGGGTTTAACAGCCAATTAGGCACTGCTAAATTGATAGACTAGATAGATCTGAATAATTTTCTCAGAATGAAACATAAAAACAAAAAGTGGTGAAAATATGTATGACAGATAAAGAAATCTAGAAGATAGAATATGAATTCTAGCATCCTTCCAACAGGCAATAAAGACTGGAGTACATGTATTATTCAAAATATTAATTGACTGAAACTTTTTCAAAATTGATAAAAAGTATGAATTTTCATATTGAGAAAACACAGTAAATCTGTCTTGGTAAATTAATAACTCCATGTCTAGACACATTGCAGTAAAATTCAGAAACAGCAAAAACAGACAGCAAAACTTAAATGCAGTTACTAAAGATTGACAAATAAACCAACTTCTTAACAGCAACATTAGATACGAAGAGAAGACTACTATCTTCAAAGAGTTGAAAGTCTCAACCTAGAATACAACACATAGTTTAACATTCTGAACCACTGAGCCACACCGTCCAGGTAACATTAGGTAATACTTAATAAAGTGGAACATGCACCTACCCTACCACCCAAATATATGTTATACACTCGTACTTTCTCATAGAAATGAAATAAAAACAACAAATGTGAGCCACATACTATCTTAAATTTTCTAGTATCTCTGTTCTTCTCCTGCCCCCCCCAATGAACACAAAGATTCTATTTGGGAGTGAAAGTACTGTCAAAAACAGTGCTTCTTGACTGAGTGGACACTAGAGCAGTTATCTGCCCCAACTCTGTTATACAAACCCTGAAAGGAAGCCTGACTCTAAATACACATGAGGAAACCAGACAACCTGGACATGTGGGGTGTAAAATTAATTGTCCATATTGCTGGGTGATTTGACCCCTGATTTTATAAGGGTCTGGGGCTGAGCTATGACTACTGTCAAGGTATATGTGCCTTTCCTGAGAGCTCTAACTATCTCCAAATGCCAGCCCCACCTATGGACTTAACATCTCTCCTATGTTTGCACACTCTGTATTTCAGGGGAGGAATATTACAACCCTACAGCTGAAAGAGACCCCCAAGAAGACATTAATCCTATGCTAATATTTTTTAATAAAACATCAAAGCAGGCAATGATGGGACTTAAAATAAAAATACAATCTATACTAATAAAAGGGCAATATGCTAATTAGATCAGACATCTTCAGAACATCCTTCCTGACAAAGCCACAGTGGCAGGGGCAGAGGCAGAGGCTATTAGGGGCGATCAGGCTGGCAGGAGAGGGTAGTTAGGGGGTGATAAGGCCTGCAGGGGAGATCAGTTAGGGGCATCATGCTGGCAGGCAGAGGCAGTTAGGGTTGATCAGACAGGCAGGCAGGCAGGTGAGAAGTTAGGAGCCAGTGGTCCCAGATTGCAAGAGGGATGTCCAGGCCAGCAGTCGAACATTTCCTGAGGGGTCCCAGATTAGAGAGGGTGCAGGCTGGGCTAAGTGACACCCCCACCCCACCCTGTGTGCAAATTTTGTGCACCGGGCCTCTAGTATAGTAATATCACTTACTACTACCATGACCATCACTAGGCAAGTCACCAGTGTGCCAGACAGTCTACTAGATTTATAAAGGCCCAAAGAAGAGGAATAACTTGCCCAAAGTAGCACAGCTGCTAACTGACTAGCCCAGGATTTGAACCTAAATCTGTTTCATTCCAAACCCATCCACTCTGCTATAAGGACTTTTCAGTCTGTTAGTCTTTACCAAGCTCTATCATAGTGGTTAGTGTGCATTCCAGTTAAGTTCTCTTAACACTAATGGTATATTATAATTATACTAGAGGCCTGGTGCACAAAATTTGTGCATGGGGTTGGGGGTGTCCCTCAGCCCAGCATTCACCTTCTCCAATCTGGAACCCCTCAGGAAATGTCCAATGGCCTAAACTGGCTGTTGGACATCCCTCTCTGCTGGAAACCAAATCAGTTTCACTAAAAAAGAAATGTTGACAGGAAGCCAGGAAGGCTGGTCAACAACCTTAATTGCTCTAACCTTTAGTTGAGATATTGTTAGCTGAAGCAGAATCTACCTTGTTTGTCCCTCAAAAGTTTCTGTTATTTCCTGCCTAAGGGCTACATGTAAATTTCTGTTTATGTTGCCTAATATGTTTTCCCCAAAGCTTCAATAAAAGGGGATGGCAGGGCCAGAGCAGGGACAGTTCTCCCACTAGAGTTGGACTGCTGCCTGGCCCCCCATATAACCAAATTGAATTTCTTCAAGTCTCTTTTCATTTGTGTGCGGCCCTTCTCCAGAAGCTGAACCCTGAATTGGAACTCTTTCTATGTGGGCCGTGAAAGAGAGGCCTATACCTCTCACAATCCAGGACTACTGGCTCCTAACTGCTCACCTGCTATCTGCCTGATCACCCCTAACCACCTCTGCCAGCCAGCCTGATACCTCTACTGCTCTCCCCTGCAGGCCTGATCACCCCCTAACTGCCCTCCCCTGCCAGCCTGATTGCCCCTAATTACCTCTGCCTTGGCCCCTGCCACCATGGCTTTAACTGGAAGGATGTACTGAAGATATCCAGTCTAATTAGCATATTACCCTTTTATTAGTATAGATAACCCTAGTAACACTATTGCACTGCTGTAATTATTTCTGCTATAGAAGCATGGAACAGACTGTCAAATATCAGAGGGGAGGTTGAGATGGGTGAGTGGAAGGAAAGAGATCAACCAACAAACTTGTTTGCATACATGCATAACCTATGAACATAGAAATAGGGTGGTGGAGGTCTGGGGTGGGGTTGGGATTGGGGATGGACTAGAAGGGGACATGAGTAATACTTTCAACGATAAAGATTTTTTTTTAATAAGCATGAAGTAGTACCTCTTCTACACATTTCCCTAGTGAGCCCACATCTACTAAGCCACCTTAATGAAGTTGGTAAGACGTGTCTCCCACCTCTTTTTCTTCAGCTTTGATTCTGGAGCTATCTGTGTCTTTTTCAGAGAGCGGCACCTAGAAAAGACAGAAAATATCATGGTAGGGATTAGAGCAGAGGAAACTCCACACAGAATCAACCAGGAAATTGGACATTTGCTAAAGACTCCTCAGTGTCACACAGGAAGATTTGTCTCCTTGCAAAATCATGAAAAGCTCTGGCTCTCTTCAAAGGAGCTTAAATTGGTTCACCCTTGCATGTATTCATCTTTGATGTGTCGTTTATACCCCAGTGGGGATTATGCAACTTTTCCCAGTCAGCCTAGTTCTGTCTTTAATTATCAGGATAATGTCTTTGGACATGGCCTCACCCAACCCTCACCTGGAGGAACTTCACGCACCAGGAGCAGATAGCAGGGTGGAATTTGGAGAGGAAAGAGATAAGCCTAAAACTACTTCACGTCCTCACATGCTTAATTTGTATCCTGGCTCATGGGTCAAAAAGTCATGTTCTCGAGGCAATTTCCAAAGTCTCATCCCAGCAAAGAGGCTGCCTGAAAAGCCATGGCTGCCACCCTACCTACCTTCTGCAGCTGGTCAGCGGGGGCTCCCCGGGTTCGCAAGAGGAGCATGCCAACAGCCGCTAAGATGCTCGCAGGGGAAAAGAAGATGTTGCCATTATTGTCTCTATTCAGTTCTTTGAAAAGATTAAACCCAAAGGTCAGTGCGCCAAGTGATTCCATGATGATTCTAGTGAGATCTAGAATAGCAACAAGAAGCAACACTAATACAAAATAATACTGAATGTGAACTGTAATTGAAAAATAATTTTTTGAAAAGAAAAACCAAATAAGCACTTGTTGGAATTGCTTAAGAAGGGAACACTTCTTGCTTTTCTTCCTGCATGGATCCAGAAAGAGGGGTTATGGAATATGTCAATAAACAAATTAAATTCAGATACTGAGATAGGCCTTAATTTGAGCTGCAGAGTTCTCAGAGAGTATTTCAGACTGCAGAGTTCTCAGAGAGTATTTCAGACAGTATTTCCTCTGACAACGATAATAGCTACAAACCCTTCTGAAAGTGATACATATGCTTATGGTCTTGATCACAGTGATTAAGTTGTATACATTAAATATGTAAGCTTTTGGCATATCCATTATAACTCAGTACAGTGTTTTCTTTAAAGAGAAACAAAAAGATAGAAAAATCCCTGTGGCCTGCTTCTCACCCCTTAGCGTAGCCTTCTCTTGACTGGAGATGTACATCAGCTGGGCACCACCTGGTGCTTCTCAATTCTCATTTCTGAAGGGAGCTAGATGATGGCCTTGGTTTGATTCTCTCTTGCTCTTTGTCAGACCTGCCTGTATCTGCCTGCCCGCCACCTCCTCCCTGAAGTAAGCTCCCAGCAGGTCCAGTGCCTGCCCTCCTTGTCTGGCTTGCCCAGATGCTGCACCCACAACCAGGCAAGGGGAAGCCAGAGGAAACTCCCGAGGCCTTGGATCCAAGCTGTGTTCTCTGGCCCAGACATAACAACAATAAAGCTAAGAGTGTATCCTTCTCTAACACTTTCTCAATTGATTCAAAATCCTATGCAGAGATGATACGTGAATTCTCTTAAACTCCAACCCCTAATTGCATGAAAACTTGATTCTGGGCTCAATTTTTCCTCAAAGGTAATGACATATCTTTAGCCATGGATTATTAAGTGGAAGTGAAAGAGTTTCCTTTTTATAATTTTCTTTTATTTTAATTTTCTACAGTTTTTCAAGTTTATTTAGTAAATTCACATTGCTTTTATCTCATCAAACAAAATTTTAAGCACAATTAATATTTACCACAAATAAAATACATTTTATATTTTCTCTTTTTTCTTTTTATATTTTCTTCATTTCGAGCTAGGTATGTTATAATTAGTTAATAAAGACTTGAAGAAAAAAAATCCTAAAACAAGAGTGAGATTAAGGCAAAATAAATTGTTTTGACAGCCTACAGATTTTGGAAGGTTCTTTGCAACTAAGGACCCACACTGCTAGCTAAGACATCTGACATCTGCTGTTCAAACTTCCATTTCACCCCTGCACTTCCTCACAGGGACTCCTTGCAGGTGAACTCAGAAATACAATGAATTAACCTGCTATCAAACAACATGAAGAAGAAACTGTCTCAAGGCTATGTAGACACTGAAGTAAATAAAACCACCCCAAGGAAAGTTACCCACTATAAAAATTCTTCTTTCAAATCAACAAACATTCTCAAAACACAAAATGTCTTCAGTGGGAGCCGGAGAGAGAACTTACCTGGCTTCTGAGGAGACAGAGGTGTCTGAGCATGGACCTGGGAAGCACGTGTAACATGAGTAATTTACATCTTTAATTTATATCTCTCTCCCTCTGCCTCTCCCTAGTCATTACCATTTTTGCATTTCCAGTGAAACAACCTTTGGTTTCTCAATGATGATGCCCTTCATAAAATTAGCATGCAAGGTTTATGACAAAATTGAGGATTGCGTTTTCTATTTCCTTCAAGGCCATGAAGTTATGCACTTGGAGTTGTCAGTAATTGCATTGTGAACTATAGCTCAGATACGATACACATTAAATTTAGAGGAAGAGAGCTGCAATTTCTCACCTCTCCAAAATCTCTTAGAAATTCTTTTGAGGATCCAAGTATAAAGAGATCTAAATTAACCAAAAAACAAAATTAAACCAAACAGGAGCTCAACCCAGGACCGCACACAGCATTAGAACAGCCAAGTTAAATGAATTATTACCCAACCAGGGGGATACTTTGAGAGGGCCTTCAACCCTAATAATATCAGGGATTCCTCTGAGAAGAACTGGTTCCCACCTTGGTGCTCATTAAAATCTCCTGGGGAACTAAAACGGGAAAAAAGATCTATGCCCAAACCCCACGCAACTGAGTCAGCATCGCTGGGGTGGGAACCACGCATCAGAGTTTTTATCACCCCAGGTGACTTAATGTGTAGCTGAGGTTGGGAACCAGTGGTTTATGGCCACAGGAAGCTCTGAATCAATGCATACTTATTTACCACAGATGTGCAGAGCTATGTCCTGACAAGCCCAGACTCTGTAATTAAGTTAAATTTGTGGGGGATGCCAAATGCAAAGACAAAAATGGGGGGGGGGGGGACTATCTTGCCAAAAATGTAGTGAGAAAAAGTCATGAGAAAAGTTTGGGCAGTCAGCCAAACATACACACATACATACAGACACACACAGACATACACACACACACTAGCTCTTGTTTTCAAGTATTCTGTTTATTAATTATGATGTTTCTCATTTTAATTCATTAAATAAACATTTATTGAGAATCTATTGTGTAGCAAACATTGGGCTAAGCATCAATAATTCATAAACACCCAACAAGCTCACTGATCTCAGGAAAACAACACTACTACTAAAAAAAAAAAAAAAAAAAAAAAAAACCTCAACAGGAAGTTCTACCTCCAAATTCCACTTTTTCCTATACCCTTACTGGCTCTACAAGTTCATTAAAGGACACAGTGCTTGGACTGAGGGCATGGAGGTTCATCACATTACCAAGCAGCAAATCTAGAAGGATATCTAAGCTCTTCCCTCTCATGTGAATGTCTACTTAAGGAAGTAACTTATCTCAATGATACAACTTCTAAGGGCTGGCTGATGCCTGTGCCAATCTCAATACTCATTGTTTGCTTTTTAAAAAATTATTTTGATTACACTTCTTTAAGCAAATTCAAAGCTGTATATAATTAACTTTGTTTTCTAACTCTCTCTGATAAATGTGCAAACTCAGGAAGGTTTGGAAAGAATTAGCACTTAGTTATGGAGTCAACCCTGGATGCCAAAGAAATGAAAAAATAAACAAAAACTCATAGACACATTACCAAAAGGAAGTTGTATAGTAAAGGGGTCAGACAAATGGTGACAGAAAATTTAACTTTGGGTGGTTAACATGCAATGCAATATACAGATGATGTATCATAGAATTGTATTCTTGAAATATATATAATGTTATTAATCATTGTCACCCCCAATAAATAAACTCTTTTAAAAAATGGTATGGAGTCCTTGGGTTGGCAATTATGTTTTATGTTTTAACGAGAGGCCTGGTGCATGAAATTTGTGCACAGGGGCAGGGGGTACCCTCAGCCCAGCCTGCACTCTCTTCAATTTGGAACCCCTCTGGATCAGGCCTAAATGGGCAGTCGGACATCCCTCTCACAATTCAGGACTGCTGGCTCCCAACAGATCGTCTGCCTGCCTATCTGATTGCCCCTAACCACATCAGCCTGCCAGGCTAATCACCCCCTAATCACTCCCCTGCCAGCCTGATAAATGCCTAGCTGCTCCCCTGTCAGCCCAATTGCCCCTAATTGCCCTCCCCTGCCAGCCTGGTCACTCCTAACTGCCCTCCCCTGCGGGCCTAGTTACCCCTAACTGTCCTCCCCTGCAGGCCTGCTGGCCCCCAACTGCCCTCCTCTGCTGGTCCAGTCACCACTAACTGCCTTCCCTTGAATGACTAATCACCCATGACTGCCCTTCCCTGCTGGCTATCTTGTGGTGGCCATCTTGTATCCACATGTGGGTGGCCATCTTTGACCACATTGGGGCAGCCATCTTGTGTGTTGGCATGATGGTCAATTTGCATATTAGGCTTTTATTTTATAGGATATTCCTATCTGTATGCCTTCTAATTCCTTTTTCTGGGACCCTAGAATCCCTGTTCCAATGTTCCAATCTCTGTTCCAATCCCTGTTCTATTTCCATTTGCTCTCTGCCTCTTCCTAAAGCATTTTCTCTATCATCTGGCTCTCACAGTGATGTCTGGCTTTCCCTGAGACCACCACACCCCACAAAGTCTTCATTGGCAGACATCACTCAAATCTTGAGATCAGAAAGCCAGGCTCTCTGCTCTTGCTTCTTCCAAGCCTTTCTTCCTTCACTTCCAATGAGCCCTTTTCAGACTTACAACATCTCCTTGTGCACCCTGTCCCCAACCATAGCCCTGCACCTTTGTGCTTGACACATGGTCTTCCTGTCCCCCTAGGGATCCCTCTGTACATCTTCACATTCCAGGTCAGCGTCTATCTCTCACTTCCCTGACACTTGCCTCCCCTCTCCTCTGGAAGTCATATACATGGCCACGCTGTGGGTGTTGCCACCACCAGGGACTACTGCTGTAACCAAAATTTAATTGGACACCAAAATTTCTCCATCTGGTTACAGATGCCTGTCCTTGATCTTTCTAACCATAATTTTCAATGTCATCAAAATCTTCAAGCATTGGATTCTTTCCCCTTCTAATATCAAAAATGTACTAAAGGTAGATATGTTAATAATTAGAAATTATAAGAATGGTTTCTATGCTTAGAAATGAGGAAAGAAGGTAATTAAGCCTTGAATCAGAGTACTGATGAGTTCCCCATCCCATCCCAAGTTTGGCACAACCTCTAGAGACATGTCTGTTATTAATACTGACTTATAATATTTTTGTCTCTAAGCCTTGGATGTTGCTGGGGTCCCACCCCGATTCTCTTAACCAGCCAGTGTTTCTATCACCCAATTACTGGTTTGACTGATAATTTACAGCTGCCCTTCTATGAAAAGACTCTTAGTTAAATGGAAACCACCTGCTGGAAAATATACAGCATCCCACCCCCGCCAGGACACACCTCAGGAGTGAGTCATTGGCATAAGGATATTAAAGGACAGGACAATCCCCTTACATCAAAATA